CGGGGGCGATGGCGGTGGTGGGGACGGCGGAGGGGGTGAGGGAGCGGGCGGCGACGGGGAAGGCAGGCTCGGTGGGGGCGGCGACGGGGGAGATGGGCTTGGCGGCGGCGGGCTTGGCGGTGGTGGCGATGGCGATGGTGGGGGCGACGGTTTGAGGTTTGTGCGCGCGGACCTGACGCGCCACCTTTACGGGCGCCGACCCCGACTGCGGGCAACGCGCGACCCTGGGGGGTCGACGGGCCCCCGGGGGCGACGGGGGTGCTCTCCGGCCGCGGCGGCCGAAAACGGGGGTCTCCAATAAGGTCCAATAATGAAGTGATCCACTTGATCCAAGGGTGCCATTGTGCTCTACTACAAAAGTTGTGTAAGATGCCCAAGTCTCAGACGCTGGATCCTTAGCGGAGCTGAGTTCTGACGGTGTGAACACGAGCAACCGGAGTGACGACCGGGACCGGGCCGCACGCCGGGAGTGCCCCGACTAGCAGTGACGGGCGCGGATGAGTGAATGAGAGGTCGCTATCTGTGGGAGATGTGTTGTTAAAGACTAGGACTGCCTATCTCTCACTAAAAGGGACCTCTCATTCGCTCGTCCTCACCCGTCACCGCTCACGGAGTGCTCCGCGTGCCGCACCGGCCGCCGCCGGCCGCCGGCCGCTCACGGTAACGGAACAGTCTTACTACTCCACAACGTCGAGCTGGATCAAACTGAATAGTGCTCCTGAAAGCCCTCTCTCTGGGCTCTGCCACACAGTAGCAGCTCACGACTAGCAGCTGGTGTGGCTGTATTTGTAGCCATTTTTAGGCATCAACTGGTCCCAAAATAGTAGCAACACCTCATGAAAATCAGTCAAAAAAGCCCCAAAAAATCGGCGCCTGCGGCGGGCTACCTGGGGCTGCGCCCCAGACCCCCTTGACTGGGGGGACCCCCCGCGAGAGCACCCCCGTCGCCCCCGGGGGCCCGTCGACCCCCCAGGGACTCGACGCCGCTGAGATCGGAGATCAAGCTCTGACAGGTCACACGTCGCTCCTTTGACGCCGACGTGACTCACCCGTGCAGAGCACCTCAGTACACGGTCTCGACACGCTCGGTACGACGCCTGCGACCCGTCTTGGGTCAGGTGGCACGACGCTCATCGCGCCTACCAGCGCTGCCGTGCAGGTTGCCACGACGAGGTCGAGCACGCTTCTATACGCTCGCCCAGCCTTCCTTTCCATCCCATTAGGCAGCCTGGGAACGGTGGCGGTCAGAGGCAAAGCCTGCGAGGGGTGGTGGAACCACATGTCACGGCTACTGCCGGCTCGACCCCACGATAGCCTCCGAAGCGCGAAGGCTGACTTTGCGGCACAATCATCGGACGATGTCGGCGAGTTGAGTCGCGCTCGCGGTAGCTAGATGACCTCTCATACTAGTATCATCGGCCATGGCCGCAGGAAGCGCGGGGGATTCCGCTGGGAGCAACACGGAGCTCCGTTGGACGCGTTTTCAATAGGGGGTGCGGTGCGTACCAAAATCCACCAGTGTGGGATTTCGCTTGACTCTGAATAGCTCGCTATGTACCTTTCTGAGCGCTGTGGTCGCCGCAGACTGGCTGAGACTTGACGGCGGCATGGAGACGTGATGCCTCCATGCCGCCGTCAAGTCGAAATCGACATGCATCTCGATGGTTTGCCCGAAAAGGTACGTAGCGGCGTTTCTGGCGACAACAGCGCTGTGACCGCGAAGTGGCGGTGGACATGCTCCCACGTTGCCGACGCGGCGCCGGAGTGGCCGGCGCTGCTCGCCGCGACCACGACGGCTACTCTGATACTCCGGGCCGACCCGTCCTACCCGACGGTGGCACTCTTCCACGTCTCGCTCACGCTGAGAAAAATCTGAAACGGCGTGCAGCAGAGTCACCGACGAGTCGGTCCGCGTGACTCCTCGTGTCCCGTACCGTTCTCACACATCCATAAACTCACTTTGGCCTCACTGAAGCGATGCCTCAATCCTGAATCCTCAGATTTTAGATTAGGACGCACCGCACCCTCTATTTTCAAGATTAGCGCGTGTCAGAGTGAATTGGAACTAGCCATACAACATGTGCACATGCACATGTCATTGTGTGTAGGATTCAAGTAGGAAGGTGAAGAACAGCGCTGGAGTCTCCACCGGTGGAGTCATTCATGAACATATATGCGCACGAGAGTTCAACAGGCTCAGGCCGCCAGGAGGCGCGCCACGAGCGCTGCTTTGACGCCGGTGGTGGCCAAGCCGAGGCGCTCGCACTCGCTCTTCAGCTCTGCGACCCGCATGGCCTTGTACCGCTTCTCCACGGCCGCCTTGTCCTCGCTCGCGCCCGCCTGCACCACCCGCTCCTCCGCACCTCGCTCGCCCTCGTAGTGCAGCACAGTGCCGTCGGGCAACTCCATGCGCACCATTCGCTCCGCACCTTGCTCGCCCTCGTAGTGCTGCACCATGCCGTCGGCTAACTCCATGCGCACCAGCCGCTCCGCGCCTCGCTCGCCCTCGTAGTACTGCACATTGCCGTTGGCAGACTCCATGCGCACCATCCGCTCCGCGCCTCGCTCGCCCTCGTAGAAGGCCACCTCGCCGTCGGCAGACTCCATGCGCACCACCCGCTCCGCGCCTCGCTCGCCCTCGTAGTGCTGCACCGTGCCGGACTGCAAGAGGCGTCGCCGCAGATTCGCGCCATTCTCTTCGCCGCGCCGCAGTCTCCAGTGTTCGGCGCGACTCGCGCCAGCACCCGTCACTTCCGACGAGAGGCGGAGCGCCGGGCTCACCCTCGCAAGCCACGGGAAGTGGTCGGCGCTGGCGCGGCGGTCGGCGGCGTATCTGCGGAGGATAACCTCATTGAGCGTTGCCGACACCGTGACGAAGGGGTCGGCGCAGCGGCGCTGGACGAGCAGCAGCCGCATCGCCACGGCGAAGAGGGGGTCCTTGAAGCGCGCCAGGCCGCTGCGCAGGGCGAGGAGGCCGAGGCGCGGCGACGCGAGGCTGAAGGCGGCGCAGTCGGAGAAGTCGTCGACGCCCTCGAGGATGCGGAGGTGCAGCTCCGGCGGCAGCTCGCCCAGCCAGTCCGTGGGCGGGGCGTCGTCCTCGGTGCGTGCGCGGGGCGAGCGCGACATATACACACGGTGCACGACTTTTTCTTTTTACCAGATTGAATTCTCCTTCTAAGGAGAATTCGTTTTTGTTTTTCTTGCTGTCATTGGTGGCAGAGACGCTGATCTCGCGGCGCCAAGTAAATGTTCTTTCTTTTTAATCAAACAAAAAGAAAATTATGTTAAAGAAAACAATGAAAAAAAAGCTCTGTGCGATTTCGGGCCCGGGGTTGTGCGTTTACATGAAAAAAAGCAACCCCATCCTGCTCGCAAAGCGCGCCCGATCACCCCACATTGCGTCGGCGCGAGTTGCCTTTCCCTTTGCCTTTGCCTTCGCGCGAGAGCGATCACAATGGCCTTCAGCGCGATTGAAGATCTCGAGGAGTACATGGCCTCGGAGCGCACGGTAGAGCTCTTTGTCCCCGGCCGCATCTGCCTCATGGGCGAGCATTCCGACTGGGCCGGTTCGTATCGGCGCTTCAACTCGTCGCTGCTGCCCGGCATGTGCCTCGTGTCGGGCACCAACCAGGGCCTGTACGCGCGGGCGTGCCGGCACCCGTCCAAGCTGATTGTCACCTCGATCGACCAGGGTGGCAACGTCTGCGGGCCCACAGAGTTCTCGATGGATCCGCAGGCTCTCCTTGCCGCCGCGGCGACCGGCGACCACTTCTCTTACGTGGCCGGCGTGGCGTACCAGATCCTGGTGCGCTGCCACGTGTCTGGGCTGGTGCTGCACAACTACAAGACGGACCTTCCCGCGCGAAAGGGCCTCTCCTCCTCCGCCGCCGCCTGCGTCCTCGCCGCCCGCGCCTTCAACCGCGTGTACGACCTCAAGCTGACGGTGTGGAGACCTTTCCGAGATATTTCCTAGCCGCCCACCGCGCCGAGTGCCGGCGATCCGCTTCTCCACCTTCCCGGGTCGGCACCCGATACCCATCCACAGCTGTTGGGACACTTCCAAGACCACTTCCGAGACCCTTGCGAGACACTTGCGAACACTTTCCGGTCAACGCAGGTGCGCGGAGAGATGGACCTGGGGTACCACGGCGAGATCACGACGCCTTCGCAGTGCGGCCGGATGGACCAGTGCTGCGCCTTTGGTCCTCGGCCGGTGCTGATGACCTTCGACGGCGACCGGCTCTCGTATCTCTCCCCCACATCTCCCCCATATTATCTCCGCAGATCTCCCTAGATCTCCCCATATCCCCCATATCTCCCCCATATCCCCCCATATCCCCCCATATCTCCCCCATATCTCCCCATATCTCCCCCATGCCTCCCCATGCCTCCCCATGCCTCCCCATGCGTCCCCAGATCGCCCCAGATCGCCCCAGATCGCCCCACGCCTCGCAGGCGACCGACTCGACTGCGAGGAGCTGTCGCTCAAGAGCACGCTGCACCTGGTCATCGTCGAGCTGGACGGCACAAAGGACACGACGGTCATCCTGCAGCGGCTCTTCTCGGAGCCTTCTCGGAGCCTTCTCTGAGCCTCGGTGTAGGACACGACGGTCATCCTGCAGCGGCTCACAAAGTGCTACCCGGTCCCCGATGACGATGCGCAGCGAGGCGTGCACCGATGTCTCCCCACATCTCCCCATATCTCTCCACATCTGGTGGGCGAGACGGCACCTGTCGGAGCCTTCTCGAAGCCTTTCCCACAGGCGTGCACGAGCTCGTTCCCCTATCTCCCCCCTATCTCCCCCTATCTCCCTCTATCTCCCCCCGCAGGCGTGCACGAGCTCGTTCCTCTATCTCCCCCCTATCTCCCTCTATCTCCCCGCAGGCGTGCACGAGCTGCTCGGCGCGATCAACCAGCGCATTGTCAGGGCGGCGATGGCGGCGCTCGACTGCGGCGACATGGCGGCGCTTGGTGCGCTAATGGAGGAGGCACAGGGCACGTCCACGACGCGTCCATGACATGTCCGAGACCTGGCCGCAGGCGCGCTCATGGACGAGGCGCAGGAGCATTTTGACCGGCTGGCGACGCCGCTCTGCCCGTCGCAGCTGACGGCGCCCAATCTGCACCGCGTGTTGCGGCACGAGCCGCTACGGAAGCACATCTTCGGCGCGAAGGTACGCGATCTGAACTAATAGTTGGTATACGGCTCACGCAGTACTAAATCATGCACCGTTGGTGCCAAGGCAAAAGGCTTGCACGAATGAGTCCTTTAATCTGGCCCACTTCATGATAAAACGCATCTTTGGTGCCGAGGGGGTCGGCTCGGGGACCTAGATGAGTAATGAAGATTCTCGTTTATCCTCATGAACGCGCCTTTGGTAGGGGGTCGGCTCGCAGGGGGACGGCTGCGCGCAGCTCCTCTGCCGCTCCGCCACCGACGCGGAGGCGGCGATGCGGATTGTCGAGACGGAGCTCGGCATGCGCACCATGCCCCTCCAGATTGGCGCGTCGCGCCCGGTGGGCCAGGCGGTCGTGCCGGCGGCCTCCTTCTCCGCCGCCTCCTTCCCCGCCTCACGTACCACGCCGCCGGCGCTCTTCCCGCTCCTCGACGCCGACGGCATCCTTAAGCCCGCGATCCTGCTTTTGGTCGAGCAGGCAGTCGACGCCGGCCTCGCCAAGGTCGTGCGTGATACACACACACACACACACACACACACACACACACACACACACACACACACACACACACACACACACACACACACACACACACACACACACACATCTTACACCGCTTCCCCCCGCGCGCCCGGGCCTTGCCCCTGTGTGTGTTGTGGAGACGTCTACCTTATCCTTGCAGGTCGTGATCGTCGTCTCGCCGGAGCACAAGGGCCACTTTGAGGCGCTCTTCACACCTCCTCGTCACACCTCCTCGTCACACCTCCTCGTCACACCTCCTCGTCACATGTTGAGGCGCTCTTCCGGCGGCCGCCCTCGCCGCGCGAGATGGCGCGGCTGCCGCCTCGGCTGCAGCGCTACGCCGAGAAGATCCGCGAGGTGGGCGCAAAGGTCGAGCTGGTGGAGCAGCAGGAGCAGCTCGGGCTCGGCCATGCCGTCCTCTGCGCCCGCGCTGCGCTCGAAGAGGAGGCGCGCGCACACCACACTCACACGCAACGACACAGCCCCCGGGCTTCAGATCGCACGCACGGACAGCCGAGAGCAGGTCGAGAGCGGGCAGGCAGGCAGAGGTCGACTAGTCGGACAGGCAACGCCGAGTCCCTCGGATGTACTCCCTCTCCCACACCGCTCACCCCAGTGCACCCTCGCACTTTGGATGCTGTGGTGGGACTCCTGTCGTTTAGAGCGAGGGCTGCCTGGCCCTTTCCCCGCCACCTTGTGTGTGTGGAGAAGCTTACGGTTCCGTTCCTGGCCTAAGGCGCCGACGCTGCTGCTGCTCGGCGACCATCTCTACACCACCGCGCACCCCGAGGGCACGTCGTGCGTGAGGCAGCTGCTAGCCGCCTACACGGGCACCTCCGTCATGGCGCTGCAGAGGACCGCCGAGGCACAACCTGCACCGGCGCGGTTTCTACCCGCCTCCTCGCCGCCTCCTCGGAGCCTTCTCGGAACCTTCCCCGCAGGCACACGTGCACCGGTACGGCTGCGCGACGGGCAAGTGGGATATCTCTGGCAAGGCGAGCCATCTCTCCCGACATCTCTCCAGATCTTGGCCATACCTCGGCCATACCTCGGCCATACCTCGGCCGTACCTCGGCCATATCTCCGGCAAGGCGAGCTGGCCGACGCGGTTTGGCGACGGCGGCGACGCCGAGCCGCGGCGCGTGCACCTGACGATGCTGGTGGAGAAGCCGACCGCAGAGTTCGCCGCGACCAACCTGGCGGTGCCGGGCCTGCCCGAAGGGACGTACCTCAGCGCCTTTGGCCTCTACATCATCACCGAGACGGGTGGCCTACTCCGGCGGCTCGCCTGCACGGACGTGTCTCGCCCATGCCACGGACATGTCGTGGACATGTCCGCTAGGCGCCCTCCTCCAGTGGCTCGCCGATGCCGCCGACGCTCGAGGTGCCTCGCCGACCGCGCCGCCGCTCCAGCTCACTGAGGCGAGATGCCGCCGAGATGCCGCCGAGATGCCGCCGAGATGCAGCCGAGATGCAGCCGTCGCTGCAGCTGACCGAGGCCGAGACATCGTCGAGATGTAGCCGCCGCACAGCCGAGATGAGCCGCGATCGGCCGCGTTCAGGCGCTCGACGTGTTGCGCGCCGAGTCGGGCTTGCAGGGCTTCCTGGTCGACGGCACGCGCTTCGACATCGGCGGAGAGCCGCAGGCCACACCCTCCTCCTTTCTCTCCCCTGCCCCACGGTACCCGAGCCCACCCTCCTCTCTCTCCGCGCCGCGCGCGGCCGGAGCACGCGCCCACGACGGCGCCCACGACACGTCCGCAGCACGTCCCCGCAGGCCTTCCTCGAGACGGTCAACGCGCTTGCGCCGTCGCTCGAGTCCGTCTCGCCGTCAGAGGTGCGGGGGCTGTCGCGGGGGCGGTCGAGCGGCGGGGCGTGAGGGGCGGGCTGCGCCACCGCCACCCGCCAACCACTCGGAGAAGGCGCGGCGATCCAGTGGTCGCTGAATGTATGGAGGACATGGAGGTGGAGTCGGGAGAGTTTGCCATGATCGCTCCCTTTGGCGCTTTGGGGTGTGCGGCTCTGCCGTAGTCCAGTGGCTAGTTACAGTGGCACAGCAGTACAAACCCGTGTGGTATTTTTTACCGTGCGAGCGCGCGCGTAGTGTCGTCCGTCGAGGCTCTCGAGGTCGAGCATGTGCACAGTGCGAGGGACGCGGGAAGCGGCGTCTCGCTGCAGCGTCGGTGATACGGTGCGGCACGGCCGTGCGCCCGTGGGGGCACACAGTCGCGTGCAATGATCATCCTCCAGGCACGGCCTCCATCGCCACCTGGTTTGGTTTTGGATTGTGGCCGATTGAGGAGGAGGCGGTGTGGGGGTGGAGGGTGGGGAGGGGAGGGGCGTATTCGGGGAGACGGGAGATCGGGAGGACCCGGATGGGGTGACCTCAAAAGAGAGGGGAAGCAATAGGATCTGGGGCGGGGGCGGAACAAAAAGACGAAACGAAGCATACGCAGTGGAGGGGTGCAGCGGTTTGCAAGATCCAAGGGAGGCGGGCCTGAGGTGCAATGAAACGGCCCAGTCTCGCTGCTGCTGTAAGAAGATGGGGGGTGATGTGTGGGGCACCAGCGCGGCCTCAAGTTGCTTTGACCACTTTACCGTCCGGCTGAAATCCGCCTCCCCTCTCAGATGGAAGCAGGAAGCTTCCATCCCGGCGGTGGTTCGAATCCACACAAGCCGAAGGTGAAGGGGTGAGAGGCCCGAGGTCTGAAGCTCACCCAGTGTGGAAGTGAGGAACTGCTCGACCCTCCCGGATCATGCTGAACAAGCTCCTCTTGTAGCTCGATCGGCCACACCGCCATCACCGCCGACTTCTCCCAGTGAGATGATGGAGAGGGGGGACGACACCGCTCGATCTACCCTCTGGGGTCCCTCAGCGGCGTGCACCTCGATCCTGTACCGTGTTTGTTATGACCCCCCCCAATGAACACACCAGTGAGGGAGGGCGAGACGATCGAGGGGTCCCGTACCATGCGGAATCGACCCTATCCTGCTGCGCCGCCATGCAAGGCACGCAAGTGAGGATCTCACGCTTTGCAGCGATCCGTTGCGCGGATTCGCCTCGCCACCGTGTCCTGGTTGGTCTGGAGGAGGAGTATCTCGAGCCGCGCACTGGCTACTTGCTCGACTTGGCGCTGCCCTCTTCGCGTGTCGCGATCGAGGTGTGGATGGCCCCTCTCGCTTCCTGCTGCCCGACAAGCGGGGCGTGCGCAAACCCAACACGCGCGCACGCTGCTCAAGAGTGGCGCTTGATCGGTCATGCTGACCGCCGACAGATCACTCCAGACAGCAGACAGGCCGACGTCTGCACGCGGCCGGCCGGGCGAGAGGCTTGACACGATCCGACCCTGCGAGACCCTGACGCTGCTGCTCTAGCTATCAGACATGCACTGCTGGCTGCTGCCACAATGTGCGACCTGTGCTGGCCCCTTGGCGGCCTTCCCGGTCAGTGGTGAGGCGCAGTTCAGAGCTGTCGATGGCGCGATGCCGCACTGGTCCCACATTGGTAACACGAGACCACCACGTTTGCCGGTCCAAGAGAGAGGCACTGGTGCTGTCCTGAGAAGGTGCGTGGTCCCTCTTGACTGCCCATGCGCGCGAGGCTGTGTAGGCGTAGCCTCGAGAGTGCCAGCAGCCAATCCGAGGCGACGCGCATTGCGCCAAGCGTGCACACGATGGAAGGACACCTTCCTACTGGCCGTACGCTCAGGTCGTCACTGAATGCTTGATACTAAGGCCGCGAGCTATGCAGGTGATCAACTGTGCAGCATGGCACGGTCAGCAGCGCCGACCAGGCTGTCGCAAGGCGTGATAGCATGGCCGCAAGTACGCCGAATTCCCATGAAAACAAGTGAAACTCGCGCAAAAAATTT